AAGGAACATCTTGACCCAACCTAGCACCCACACTGGACGCACGACATATGTTGATGTCTCCCACCATCCAGCTGCTTCTGCAGCCACGTCTTCAGGCACTGCCGAGCTGATTTCTGTTCCCTGGGACGCAGCAGCAATTAGCCGCACTCGCTTGCAGAACAGTCTATACTGACGGTCCTTCTCTTTAACCGCCAAATCCCAGCTCAAGCTACGCAACGGATATGCCTGCGGATCAGGCCACAGACACTTAGCCAAAAATGGCTCCAGCAGTTGCCAAACAGTCAGGAAGCTTTCACAATCCGTCTGGGATGGAGGTGAAGTCACCAATCGCTGCCATGCGAAGCAAGATTGCATCTTCTCCACCAGCAACATCATCTCGTCATTAACACCCACGGTGCCAATAATTTCCTGAAATTCATTCTGCAAGCGTTCAACAAATCCTCTTGCCAGACGGATTCCATCAAGTACTTTGAGGACATAATGGTACATGGCTGTCGGAACCTCGGGTGTCGATGCGACAGTATCATCTGAGCCCAGACATTCCTAACCTTAATCTGAAGTGCAAAGAGAAACCACTTGTAAATCAATAAAACTCAATTCACACAGTTCCAGCACTCCCACAGATGAAGATTGCAGTTGTGAACTAGTGCATTAAATTTTCGATATTTGTGTTGGCCTGCTGTTTGCAAACAGAGTAACCTGGCAACGTGAAGTCCAGGCACAAGGGCATTTGCATCCACCGCTGTTCATTTTGTGCAGCTTCGCCTCCGGAGACAGGGAATGTGTCACCAAGCGAGCCCGCAGCAAGCCCGGTCTTGACCGGCCAGGCGGTACTTTGGGAATAGTTTGATAACGAGGCACGTTCTCTGTCAAAGCACCATCTTTCGTGTTGGAGGACTGGGCTACCCAAAAAGGCACTCGAAGGACCTTCCCGCACAGCTTGCTGCACTTGCGACCACACTTTCGCTTTTCATGCACTGTCCAGTTGCAAAGTCTCACAGAAGGGACCTTGCCCCGGCTCTTCAAGGAAAGCAATTCTCCAGGGCACTGGCAATGGGGTCCTGCGGCACGGCCTTTGGTGTACTGCTCAGGCAACTCCACCGCAAGCTCCACATCAGCCACAGAAGGTGGTATCTGAAGCAGAATTTTGGCAGCGAACTTCAAAAAAGTCCCTGTGTACATTCGATGCTTCTTCTCAGAGCTCCAGGCAACCAGGAAACCTTAGCAAAACACAACCATGCCACGAACAAGAACGACTCAATGGTTAGGCCACCACTTCAACATACAGTACACACCCACAAATTCACAAGTTTAAATTTGCTTTGTCATAATATTGGTCTAGGCACAAGCTCTCTCTGCCAAAGAACAGTGCTGAGCCAGCAAGGTCGTGACTTGAACACACGTCTCCAACCACTCATAGCCACGCAAACAGGCACTAAGTTCGTCGACATATGCACTGTCTGCACGTTTGCAAGCCCATGGCTCCAATGCACCTTGCACAAGCAAGGCATGGTGCCGGACCGGGCCACGCGTTACATCACTCATAAGCATGGTGAAGGTAAGAAATGCAGGATCGAGCAGTCGTCTTGAGATTTGAGTAAGGCGATCCAAAGTAAAGTTACCATGGCCCTCTTTGCGCCACTCGTAACGAAGTCGTAGACCCACGGTTATCCTTTTCAGGTGCTGCAGTATGCTTTCAGGCACCAAGGACAAGGCACCAACCTTTCGTGTTCCACCAGTCTGTCGCACCTGACCACTAGCCACGTCGAGCTCTTTTTGCAAGGATCGAAAAATAATCCTGCCATCGCCATAGTTGAAGAGATGGTCCAAATCTTTCGCAAGAGCAAAAAGCTCGGCGGCAGCCTGCGTTCTCGCAACTGCCCGGCTGAAGCTGATGTCATCTCTGTGAAAAGCATCCCAGTCAACACAATCCATTGCTGACCTGCTAACAGGCACGGCTTTATAGACAGCAAGTCGATTATCACAGATTACAGTTTCCAACAAAATAACTCAAAACTCTTCTGCAATTCAAGCTGTGTGGCTCCGAGTCACCGTGGATGCGTTTCCACAGCTTCTCAGCCGCACCTGTTGATTTGTGGCGGTGCTGCTTTCCACCAGCCACGATTCCGCCATCTCCAGCCACCAGGCTCAGTCGGGCCCTCAGGGTCTCTCTATCGAAGACACCTGGATGATCTTCCAGACACTTCAAAGTCAGGTCGACCAACTTATCCCCTCTGTGATCACCTATTCCAAGGGTGGGGGAGGCACACATAGGCACCATGAGGTTTCCAGTGCTGTTCACTAGCATCATAGTCACCATGAGAACCGTCTCGTGCTTCGCACTGAAGCCAGAACCCAAAGACACTGGATCAAGCATGAGGGCAAAGTCTGAAGGGCACCCGGTGCTTAACACAGGCACAGACCATTGGAGGCCTTCAAGCTGGGACAGGACTAATGAAGCCACGTGAGTCACCTCCCGGAAAAATCGTCTGCTGTGTAACGCGGGGCCAATGTGCACGCCGGCTTCCTTCCAGCGAGCGGCTTGGCGCTCATAAGCCCAGCCACTTTGACCTTCAACTGCACAGGAAATGGCAAGCAGGCACACATTCTCCATGGCCCGCACTTTCTCAGGCACGTGATCGTCTTCAACATTCCTTCCGAGACGAGGCTTGTTTAGTCTTGCTTATTATGCCTGGGTTGCCTGTTTTAAGGGTTTAGGGTTTAGGCTTTAGGGTTTAGGTTTTTTGTAGTTAGGGCTTAGGGTTTGGGGCTTAGGCTTTAAGGTTTGGGGTTTTTGGGGTTTAGGGTTTGGGGCTTAGGCAGTAGTGTACACAGAATCAGAAATCAAATTTTCGCTGAACAATGCCATGGCTCGTTTCGGACTCTGAAGGGTCTCCACCTGTCGCAGGCACCTCTTCAGTACTCGAGGCACGTCTCGGTTGTCGACCGCCGTAGCTGGACTGGGGCTGCCACTGGCTCCTCTGCAGCTTCTCCCACACATTGCGCACGGTATACGCGCCCAGACCAAGAAACCGGCTGGCTGCAAAGATAGGAAAAGACACCTTTTGGCCACTCACAGAACATCCAGGTCGAATCTGCGACAACACGTGCTTCATTGTTTTCTTCTCACACGCTTGCACATTGGCCACCACATTTGCCACAAGCACTTGACTTTGAGCTTGCAGACATGCAGAGCCCAAAGTGCCAACCCACGAGCCACAATTGACACCCCTGTGCCAAGTCTTCTGGACACAGGCCTCATCATCCTCGTTGTCGTCACCTGTGGCAGGACGCTGCAAGGGAGCTTCCCCATCCGACTCTGAGTCGCTTGTGTCTCCTGCCATGGACTGCTGAGCTGGAGCCACCACCAAGCACGGTCCCGGACTCTCCGGCTCTTCAACCTTTCCATCCACAACTTCCATGACTGATGTCGCCGCACTGCTTGCAGCAAGACTGACAGCATCAGCATCCTCCTCCATGTCATGTGGTTCATAATAGTCACACGCAGCAGGTGGCAAGCTGGTCGTTGGGCTGCTCGTCATGGCAATGTAATGTACCCTACACTGCACGGCCCAAGCAAACAGACCTAGATCATGAGAAGTCCACCGAAGAAGATCAGACTCCTAACACCCTCTTTGTGTATGTGTGGTCCGAAGTTCACTGACACTGCATTTCGTTTTTTGTGTCAAGCTTAGACACTGTTGACACTTGATCCACTTTTTGAGACACGGGATAGCAAGAGGTGTTTTCCTTTGCTTCGGCTGTGCTTCACCCGATTATGATGAAAACGAGCACAGAGCCATCGGACGAGGCTCCACTGAGTTCACGGCTTTGAGATATTGAAGTGCAATGAGGCAAAGCTGCCTGTGACTGTGACACCTGCAGTAAAGCAACAAAGCTGTATCAGAAGCATGCGCATCCATCGAAAACGGCTGAGATCGTGACTTTGCGAAATGAGGCTGCCTCTGGCACCTGCACGAGGGCAGGAACACTGTATTGGAAGTTGGGCCAAAACTCATTCAGCGACAGTGGGCACTGAGTTCGTCACTCTGTGCAATGAGGCGGGCCACTGGAACCTGCATCGTGACGCATAACTTAAACCACAAATGCGAAGACACAAACTTCGACTTGCACGCAGAAATATGCAACGTCGCTCATACAAGCTTTTTTGAAGAGAATCTCGCAGAGCACCCCTGCGAAGCTACTGCTTTCGCTGCCTGACTCACTGGAGATGGGCTTCTGGAAAATGTGCTATATTTTTATTTTACTGAAATTCATCATCACATGCAGTAAATAAAGATTCGGAATCCCATCCTTAATTGCTCTGACTTGACTCTCGGCACCGACTTGACGCAGCCACGTACATGGTTCCCTGTGCTGTCCTTCGATCCACTCAGTGACCTTGTGGAGAATCTCCTATCGAAACTATCATACTTACCATGTCTTCACATCGAATTCAAAATTAATACCGGTAATGCACCTTGGGCAGGTCACAGACTGAGTTTTCCACTGGGGTGGCCGGAAGGACAGCTCAAACACGGCATATGGCCAAAGGGATGCCAAGCACTAATGGTGGCTGCCAGATACACGTCGTGTTGCTAAAGCTGCTGCAGCGATTAGCAAGGCGAAAGCGGACCAGCAACTGTACTGCACGTCGAACAATAGAAGGATCTGCCAAACACTAGAATGTGCTGGTCATCGGACTACGATCCTGGCTCTTGCACACCAGGGAGTGCCTGCTGCAATGAACCCAAGAACTTGGAAATGCAATTGGAAGCACAATGAGTGGTGGTAGTCACATATCAAACCTGCACATCATAACATTGTCCAAAAATAGAATACGGAGTCAAAGCAACAAGTTTGGAATACAACTTGAAACCTAATCGACTAACTCACTAAGGTTTCCTAGTTCAATTCAACACCTAGAAAGCAACGGTCTCTCTTCATTAATATGCACGATTCTGCTGGAAAATTGCTGGACCGCAGTCACCACCATCCCTTCAGCTCAGCACGTTGCGGTCCGGCATCACAATCATCTGCTTGTTGTTGGCCAGGGCGACGCCATACACTGCAAGCTCCTGCGGGCAACTAAATATGTAAACAGTCAGCATGATGCACAGCAAAGGCAAATTAGATTGTCTCATGTCCACTGTTGGCATGACATGGTCCCGTCCTGCTCAGAAGCTGCTTTCATGATCCACATGAGAGACACAGTGCTGCACTTGCTGGCCGTCTGAAGGATCTTCTCATCGGCGGGATCTTTGCACTTCAGACACAAGGTTGTCTTCTCCATATTGAAAGTGGGAGGGCACTGTCCCGCTGGCCTCGTAGTACATCAATCAACTGTCAGCTGCAACAGTCCAGACATAATGCTTCCAGTGACAAACACGCAACACACACACACATACGCCTGCCGATCTTCATGAGCTGGGCAAGTGAACAGAAACAATACACACAGACTCAGACTGATGCATACACATTGGCAAAGCAGAAACCAACACAACCATTCCCACAAACGCACATACACACAAACACAAGAAACTGCACAAACACACGCCGAGCAGCCAGCTGCCATGCCCAGGGATGCTCGCCACGCTCTGCTCCTGGATCAAGTCTTTCAGCTGCGCGACGCCGAAAGCCTGGTCCTTGCCCTTGTAGTAGAACACCCAGTCACTGCTTCGCTTGAAGTGGACAGCAAAAGGTGAATTTGAGTCCCCGCGTTCCAAAACAGCTGAGCGTGTCCACCACAGGCATGTGCGAGGAGCAAGCCGACGGTTTTGCACCTCCCCAGACACAAGCACGAAGCTTGCAGGTGTCATGCGCAGCAGGAACTTGAAGTCAGTGATGTTCTCCGCGATCTGCACCTGACAAGGGGCCGGACAATCAATGGCACAAACATGCACATTGATTCGTGACCACCCCGGCCTCGCTGTCGCTCTTCTGGTTTGCAGTCACTGGGGCTGGCTGCTTCGCTTTTTCGTCAAGTGCAGGCACCACAGGAGGTGCAGGCGCAGGCACAGGAGGTGCAGGCGCAGGCACAGGAGGTGTGGGCACAGGCGCAGGAGTTGCGGCAGGGACAGGTGGCTTCGGGTTGGCTTGAACAGGGGCTGGTGGCGCAGTCACAACTGCAGGCACTGCAGGCACTGCAGGTGGTGCTGGCGAAGACGTAGCCACCTTCTTAAGACAAGTCACGTTGCACAGAAAAATTTATAATTACTTGTGACCACTGGCTAGAACTGTGCAACTTGGATTCCCTGCCTGGCTTTGGCTCTTGGAAAGAACGGCGTCAAGTGCACCACGGAATCGTTTGACACGATCGTCTTCAAACATCTCTGCGGCTTGGGCGAAGTCGAACGCCAAACCGTAGTTGGTGCACAGTTGACTGTTGCGAGCCACGCCTGCACCGTTGTGGGTGCGAACCTCCAGTTCAAATCAAACGAAAGCTATACAAGCAACGGGCTGTTTGTTGCAGACATCACATGAACAAGCTTGGACCAAGGGGCCACAAGCTTGAGGTAGCCACTGCCACTTCCGCAGGCACTGTCCACTTGCCAGGCACAGTTCGGCTGCTTGCGAATGCCTGGCCAGACACACATGCAAAAGAGCAACACAACCCGCTTCCCTTGTTCCCTCCCGGCCTTGAAAGTGTTGCACGTATCTCGCAGCACCCAGCAAGACACAGTACACGGAGGCACGTGATCCCTTCACTCTGGCATTGTCAACCTTGACCACACCGTCAGCGAGGAAACCATGCCCAGGCAAGCGCAGGAACTTCGCCAAGGCCTCGTAACAGGTGAACTTGGCCGCCGTAGCGGTGCATATGATTTCACCCTCGGCCAACGGCTTACCAGTCACCAAGCCACGCCCAAAGGACTGGTGCAAGTCCAGGCACAGGTTGGAGTCACTGAGTTCCTTCTGTAGTAGCAACGGAACTCTCGTATCCAAAGCACCGTGAAAGACGTCCAGGCCCGCAAAGGAATCAGTCTCCGGGGGTTCGACATCAGTCAAGTCAAACACATCACTGTCAGGCACGCAACCTCCTTCAATCAACTGGATGGCTGCAGACACATGGGAGCGTTTGCGGTCCCCGGCATCCGCAGTCACGCGGGCTTCAGCCAACGCACTCCGGTAAAACATCTCCTCCTGCAACTTCACGCCATGCAAGGACGCATGCGAAGTCACAGTTGGCAGACACGCGAAGACCTCTTGACCAAGCAACCGCGCAGCCACGCTGGAGCCTGGGTGTGCCGTGGTTGTCAAGATGACCGTCGTCACGGACCGAGACACACACAGCAGGCACTGAAGGATAGGCGTGTAGAAGGAGGCGCTCTTGGCAAAGGTAAAGAGGTCCACCAAGAAGTCACGCTGTTGGAACGAGGCACCCAGGTTGAGTGGCGCAGGATCCGTGTCCTCTTCTTCACTCATCGCCTCGTCCTGCCCCTGCCCTTCACAATCATCCGGATCAAGCTCGCACTTTGTGGGATCTGCGCGGGTATCACCCGGCTTCACAGGCACCTTCGAGTCCTCAGACACCTGCTTTGCCCTTTCATGTTCCTTTAAGTCACGAAGGGGGCAACTCAAACTCAGGCACCGAAGGCGAATGCCTTCCCAGGCTTTGGCACGCCCTCTCAGCGCAGGCACCATGGTAGGCGTTGCCGGCAAGTCAGTTGTGCCTTGGTGAAGCACTAAGGCGAAATTCATGCGCCTTTTGTCACTTTGAACATCAGCTCCAGCAGTGAGCGCAGTCACGAAGATGCAGGCACTCGGAAACGTCGCAGCCAGTTTCGCCTGAAGCACACTCATGTAGTCCAATCGGCACCCGCAAAGAACCGCGATGCTGAACTGGCTGAGCTTGTTGTTGTCAACCACCTCCTTGACAACTTGCACAAAGCTCGAGCCAACTTTGGCTCTGCTGGTTGGTGAATCCAGCAGGAAGCATGTACGCTGCTGCGGGGTCAGGTAGCCAGGCACAGTCTTTTTCAGATCAGACACCGCGTTCGCACCCACGCAGCGGTGCACCTTGTCCATGTTCTTGAGAAGCGTCTCCTGTGCCTGCTTTTCGACTGGATCCATAAAATCCACCTTCATGTCCTCTGCTGTCTGCGAACCGTCAATGCTCGCCGCAGCAGCGGTGCTGTCAGGCACAGACGCCAACGAAGCCACTGGATCATCGCCCTGTGAGCTGACAGCCTGAGAGCATGAAGAGAGAGAGAGAGAGAGAGAGAGAGAGAGAGAGAGAGAGAGAGAGAGAGAGAGAGAGAGAGAGAGAGAGAGAGAGAGAGAGAGAGAGAGAGAGAGAGAGAGACAGAGACAAACAAACAGACAGACAGACATGGACAAGTGCCCACATAAGATATTCACAGGCTCACAGGCTTCTGCCGAGGAACCACCGTCGAGGAAGAGGCATCCACAGTGCCAGGCCCGCCGGCCTTCTGCTTCTGGAACTCCAGGTAGAGAGTACCTGAATTTTCAACTGACAGTGCACATGTTTTGATTGACTCATGGGTCTGAACAAAGCACCACAAACACATGACTGAAACACTCATGGCAAAGCCAAGACACGACACTCGTGAATCCCCGGGTTCTCGTCGGAGACCCCGTGCAATGGAACATTGCTTGCCATGCACGCAAGCACTTTGTTCAGCCCGGACCGCGTCTCTAACATTGCAGTCACTCGGACCATTGCGGCACTGCTTTTCGCGCAGCCACCAAAAGTTGAGTGCATGGTCTTCACCCAAGCACTTTTGGACAGCATGGCTGGGCATATCTGGGACTTTAGAATGTTTTCTGAAATCTCGGCCCCATCCTCTCGCATCTTCACGGCCATGTTCAAGACACGGATGGCGTCGTCGGCCTTCAGCTTCTGCTGGCCTGCACAGGCACCCAAATGCATGGAAGGGAAATAATGATGACTTCAGCGACACCAATCACCAGACACTGGCCTGGCCCAAGAAAGAAAACATTGTCAAACACCCAGACGTCAGGCACAGTCCGCAAGGTACGCAGGTGCTCCAAGACCTGAGCCGAGCAACCCACACCGGACCAATATTGAATCTGAGCCGAGCTACCCACACCGGAAAACTACAGCAATACATGGGCATCAGCAGCTCCAGAACATCGTCCATGTGAGTTTAGTATGACTCTTGCTCGGCACGAATCACGAAGGCTATGGCGACTTTGTGATGATGGCCTTGATCTGTTTAACGTATCCACTCGAACAGACAGTTAACAAGCACTTGTTCACTTCATGCACATGTGTCTGCTCTGCTCGGAAAGACACGACAGTGATTCTTTCCGACAAGAAAACTCCGAACTTGTTTAAACGTTCAGAAGGCAATATACAAGGAAAGGCACCTTAGTCGGCAAACTTGCGTATGACCGCATCCACCTGTTCACAACGGTCTTCTTGGAGTTGCCATAGAGCTTCAGAAGTGATTTCCGAATCAGCTCCGGGTCGGCGCCAGTCACCCTTCTGCTAAACCTAGCCACCACGTCGAGCTTCTGCCAAACGCTGCTCATTCTGAACTTGTTCTGTGACTCATCATGCCGCAGTGTCTGCCAACCAACATGGGAATCGCGGTCATACACTGGAAAAGTGACTAAATCGACGAGGAGACCTGACAAGTTCAAAAGTGTTGACAGTCAGTCTGTGCCAGTCAATGGTGGTTGCATTGATATCGATATCCTGCCTTGTTCGTAAATCTTGGACAAGCTGTCTGGCATAGACACGTTCGGGTCAGCCACAGTCTCGTCACAATCGTAGAAATTCTGCAACTCAATCCTGGGGCATGTCACGTCTGAATCGAAATGTCAACACATCCGAAAGTAAAGCTTTAGCAACGAACTGTACAGGCTGAGGAACAACGCAGACACCGTTTGGTACCCGTCGGCCAAAAGACACAATCCGTTGGCATCCACCAGATCTTTTCCTGAGATGCAGTGTTGCACAGCTGAACGGTCACTGTTTTGGCATGCAGCTGGAAACACAGGCCAAGATGCCAGCCCCATCCACAAGCACTTGTGGCCGCGACAGCAATGACATGTCGTACTGGCCCGACCGAAACACCTCCATCAGCTCAACCACACGATCGTCGTCACGTCCTCTGAAGGACGAGACATCGGGGTCAAGAGATATGTCCTGCCACAAAGTCACAACGTGCAGACATTGACACGCACGCAAACAAAACCACCTCATGGAGACACACAAATCTCCTTCAGCTTGCGGAGAACACCGCATTGGACCGTTGTCTGGCCCTGAACAGGACAGGTTTTGGTAGTGGTGAAACTTCGAAGTCAAATTCCGCCCGGCCTCGTGAGTTTTCTCAACATCCACGACTTTTTTGCCCATGGCGCCGGACGTCGGCACTCTAATCAAAATCACCGACGAAGAGCCAGACACTTCAGCAACACAAGCGACATCAAATAAATAGCTCCAGACTAACAGGAAACTGATCTGCACGAGCTGCTTGCACGAGTGAGCAGTGGGCCTCTGAAGAATCGCACGGCCGAATGAATGCAAAGCCAGACCTGAGAGATCGGCCAGGCTCGGGGGTGAGTGGGTTCCTGCAAATGAAACTCCTGACAAGTGGCAGCTTGGCAATAGAAGTCGTCGTTGTGACTCCTTCCAGTTCTTGACCTGCCCCAAGCCCAGGCCCAGTGCACTGGAAGGGTATCCCTGCGAAGATAAGCAGATCGGCTTGAACCGATAGTCCGACCTGGGCTGACGAAATAGAGCAGCCGAGTCAACTGGGGGTGGGTCCCTGCCAGATAAGCAAATCGACTTGATTGGCTGATGTACAGAGCAGCTGAGTCAACGGCCGCACCTGGGGGTGGGTCCCTGCCAAGATAAGCAGATCGGCTTGATTCGATTGTAGTCTGAGCTGGCTGATGTACAGAGCAGCTGAGTCAACGGCCGGACCTGGGAGTGGGTCCCTGCCAAGATAAGCAGATCGGCTTGATTCGATTATAATCTGAGTCTGAGCTTGGCCAATGAACAGAGCAGCTGAGTCAACGTGGCAGATGCGCAGAACATTGAAAGCTACGATAAGGCATGATGCAAACAACGAACCCCGCAGATAACCGGATCGAGTCGAAGTAGCTATATTCGGGGTCACGACAGCGA